ACAGACAGACAGACAGACAGACAGACAGACAGACATAGACAGAGTAAAATAGAATAGAATAAAATAGAAGATAGATAGATAGATAGATAGATAGATAGATAGATAGATGAGATAGATAGATAGATAGATAGATAGGATAGATAGATAGATAGATATAGAAAGATAGAAATAGAGATAGAAATAGATAGAGATAGAGATATATAGAGAAAGATAGAGATAGATAGACATAGATAGATATATAGAGATAGAGAGAAAGATAGAAACAGAGATAGAAATAGATAGAGATAGAGATATATAGAGAAAGATAGAGATAGATAGACATAGATAGATATATAGAGATAGAGAGAAAGATAGAAATAGAGATAGAAATATAGAGATAGATATAGATAGATGTAGAGCTATATAGAGAGATAGAAAGATAGAGATATAGATTAGATAGATAGATAGATAGATAGATAGATAGATAGATAGATAGATAAAGAAAGATAGAGATTAGATAGATAGATAGATAGATAGATAGATAGATAGATAGATAGATAGATAAATAGATATAGATAGAGAGAGAAAGATAGAGATATAGATAGATAGATATAGATAGAGAGAGAAAGAAAGATAGAAATAGATAGATGTATATAGATAGATATGTGTGTGTGTGTGTGTGTGTACATATACATATATATATACATACATACATACATACATACATACATACATACATACATACAGATAGATAGATATGAGAGAGAGAGAGACACACATAGGTAGGTAGGTATATATATGCATACATCCATACATCATACATACACACACATAAACATATATATATAGAGAGAGAAAGATAGACAGATAGATAGGTAGCTAGATAGACAGGTAGATAGATAGATAGATAGATAGATAGATAGATAGATAGATAGATAGATAGATAGATAGATAGATAGATAGATAAATAGACAGGTAGACAGGTAGAGATAGACAGGTACATAGATGGATGGATGGATGGATGGATAGATAGATAGATAGATAGATAGAATAAGTGGAAAGAAGAGCTTGAAGGTCAATAGATAGATGACAGATATAGACAGAAGAAAGCAGATAGAGAGACAAAGTCACTTTTTCCAGTGTTGTAGTAACTTCACACAGTCACTAAAGGGAAGGTTNGTGCTGCATTTAACCACTGCGCCACCTCGGCTCTTTGTGGGTGCTTCATCACTGGAGGTTTTTAAGAAGAGACTGGATAAACATTTGTCTGAAATGGTGTAGGATCTCCTGCTTGAGCAGAAGACCTCCAAGGTCCTCTCCAGCTAGATTCTGATTCTCTCACTTTTCTTTCTACTTGGAATCTATTTCTGGACTTTGTGTTCAAGGTGGGGAAAAAATGAAACTTAGATGTCGGGTTTCACCAATTAGGCAGCTCATAGAAATGCCTAGTTTATACTATTATGTAAAAGTAAAAAGTTGAGGTTTGATGCTATTATCTTATTCTACTGCACCAAAGTGGGTGTGTGTCTTTCTTTCCTCTCTTTTTCGTACAATTTTTCCTTTCCTTTTCCTTCCCCTGTCTTTCCTACTATTTCATTTTGCAATTTTGCATTTTCACATTATAAATTAATAATTTAAAAAGACAAGTTTTATATGTAAGCTTGCCTGCTGAATTTGCAACCCCCATTTTGAAAACAAGCCATCCAGAAATGGATTTTTGCTTCGGGATGTATTTGCTGCCTTTATTTTTCCTTCTGCAGAGATTGAAACCCTGTTGACTTCTTCCTCAAAGACTATGGATCCCATTGCCCTTCATTGTGTGGAGAAGCCTTCTGTCCATGCGAATATTCCTGTTCCTGATATTCTCCAAAAACTGGAGGAATCTCGGCTTAGACTTTTGAATCCCGTCCGTCCTTCAGGATTATGGGTAGGTGCCCTGAAATCTCCTATCACCCAGGGCCAGTCAGTGATTCACCCCAGGACAGTTGATTTATCTCAGCTTTCTTGATCTCAAATGCTCCAGGTTAGCCACTCAGCATGATAAGTTTCAGCTAAGACCCTGTACTTATGAAAATATTCCTAATTAATGTTGGCTTAATCTGGATTCCTGGCTAGTCGATTTAAATGTTGTGGCTTTTCCCCGACCACACACAATTATGAGAAACAAAAATGGTCAGGATCTGAAGCTGGTACCCTGGCAACCAGAAGGTTCTGTCTGCCCTCTGTTTTTGAAAAAAAAAGAGTTAAATCTAAATAGGATAAGATACCACAAGGAGATCTCAGAAGACGTAAACTACACCAGGAAGGTGAAAATGCCAGCAGGAGACTTGGTTCTGTCACGTGGACAAGATAATTACAGGAATACTGATAGCAGCAAGGATAATATTTGCAAAATATTGGAAAAACGAGACATCAGAGGAGGATATAATTCGGAAAATGTTTGATTGTGCCAAAATGGACTTAAAAAAAATAAAAGATAAAGAGGACACAGAATATTACTTTATATGGAATAAATTTTATGAGTGGTTAGAGACAATAGGTAGGGATTAGACGAAGAAAGATCATTTGTATGTATGGATTAAATATAAAGATGATTCATAATTATAAATACGCCAATACAGTCAACAAGTATAGTTGTATAAGTATAGGAGCATAAATAAGCCAATACAAAGAGAAATTTAGCTAAAATGCTGTTATGATATTATTATTATACAA